TCGCACATTTCATTTGTACACCACCGCATCTTTTGTGTAATTAAATGCTGTTAACTTTTATAAGCTTCCCTTGACTCTTTCCAGTCTCTTCTAGAATACACTAACACAAGTCAAAATCTTTCGTTTAGAGACCCTTTTGTTGAACTGCTTATCGTTCTGGATGGCATGTCACCAGCCTCGCTCATCAGTGCAAGGTTTGAAAGCCACAATATTCATTTGTTTTTAGTCGAGGCTCCGGACAGGACTTGTCTAAAACAATGGTTAGGAAAGCGTCTCACTCTGCGTTCTCAGGGATGTTTAAGTGTTCAAATTACAAAGGTATTGATGTAATCTTTCCTTTACTGCATGCTCTGCTGACATTAAGTGCAAATGGAGAGACACTGATCATTATTTCCAGAGGCACATGCGATAATACAATATGGGAAAGTAGACATATTCAAGTTATTCTTTGTTCTATGTCTTTTGGGGGTTTGTCCCACTGCTCGTATGCAGAGTTTAGCTCATTTGAATGAATGCACCAGCAGGGGGTTTGGCTTCTTTCAAGCTCACATGTCATGCTTTTCCGGTTCCGTTTAGTGGAGAAAGTGAATACTGCTGAATACACACACTTTACAGAGATGCTGTTTGAGAAACCAAGGTGAGTTTGGAAAATTGCACATTATTTTTCTATTTTAGTAGACCTCAACAATGGAATTATGATCAGTGGAAATGGCCATGACACGGGACCTTTAAAAGCCAATATCCCTGCTCTTCTCTTGTTGTTCTCAGTGTGTTTCTTTTTGCTTTGTTGTAAGTCTGAACGCAGTGTAGAGAGTTCTCACTCTGCATGGCGTTCTCAGGGCTCCTCAGCATGGTTTTCTGCAGAGTCGGGAGCAGCAGGTCTTTGAACTCCGAGTGAGAAACGTGACGCAGGAAGGAGCTGCTTCGGTCCAGGATGTGCTGCTGGGGCTTGGTTTTACTCATGAGGACCGACTTGATGTACAGGTCCAACACGGCACTCTGCAACACACAACACATAAACATCTCAGATTACATTCACTTCTGTGCAATGGCTTGCCCCTTTTGGGCGCTATACAAATGTAATATATTATTATTTAAAAAATGAGAGCAAAACTGGTCAATGGTGTGAGAACTGTGGGAAAAGTTTTGAATTTTCAGATTTTTATTTGATTTGATTACCGTAATTAGATTTTTACTGAAGTTCGTTTTTCTCTTTTTTTATATAATTTGTATTTATTGACTAAGTTTGTCCACTCATGTACTTTGTTTTTACCTACAGTATAAATAAAACAGGACAAAGAAATATGCATTATTGTACGCCTGAAAACCCGAAAGCACTTATAATAAAAAAATAATAATTAAAGAAAGAAATATATAAATAAATTGTATATATGTATAAAAAAAATTACAAAATATAAATGAACAGAATGAAAGCAGTTTTTTCTTTCTTAATGAAATGAAACAAGGTTTATAAAAACATTATCCGGGATTACATTTGTTTCTGTAAAATAATGAGGTCTAAACCGGTCAATGGAGTACTTTGGGCACAGTTTAGAATTTTCAGTAGTTTTTATTTTATTATTTTTAATTTAATGACTTAGTTTGTCCACTCGTGTACTCGATTCAAAATACAAATGTATTATTTACATACAGTATAAATAAAACAAGACAAAGAAATAAGCGTAATTGTACACCTGAAAATACAAAATTACTTAAAAATAAATAAATAATAATTAAAGAGAAAATGTAAAAATATATAATATCTAGAAGAAACAGCATGAATGCAGATTTCTTTTCTGAATACACTACAACTAGCATATACGTTTGATCTACTTTCATAATTGTAATATAGTTAACATATTTTTTTATCTAGAAAAATGTAAGTATTGCATCAGGTGTCGATATCTGCAGATAGGCAAAGAAAACACTTGCTACTGTATGAAATGTGCTTTATAAATAAACTCACCTTAGTTATCAACTCTACAATACCAATAAAGGTTTGGGATTTGAATCCTAGAATCTCACCTTGTGTTTCTCGATGGTGGCTTTCTCTTTCTGCGCGGTGCAGAAGTCCAAACACACGCCCAGCATGGCCAGGGTGACGGGGCTGGGGTCCAGACTCAGCAGGGTGCCGACGTACTGGTCCACCAGACCTGGGTTCTGAGAGGGAGCAGAGCAGAGGACGTTTAATACCAGGAGAAATTAAAGGAGGAACCATCTTGTTTTCAAGGGGGTCATTCACACAAAGTCTGCACACTACTTCAACTACTACTTCAACTACCACTACTTCAACTACTACTACAACTACTTCAACTACCACTACTTCAACTACTACTACAACTACTTCAACTACTACTACAACAACTACTACAACAGCTGCAACTACTACTACTACTTCAACTACTACTACAACAGCTGCAACTACTACTACAACAACTACTACTACAGCTACTACAGCAACTACTACTACAGCTGCAACTACTTCAACTACTACTACAGCTACTACAGCAACAACATTTACTACTACTACTACAGCTACTTCAACTACTACTACAACAGCTGCAACTACTTCAACTACTACTACTACTACTACTACTACTTCAACTACTACTACAACAGCTGCAACTACTTCAACTACTACTACTACTTCAACTACTACTACAACAGCTGCAACTACTTCAACTACTACTACTACTACTACTTCAACTACTACTACAACAGCTGCAACTACTTCAACTACTACTACTACTTCAACTACTACTACAACAGCTGCAACTACTTCAACTACTACTACTACTTCAATTACTACTACAACAGCTGCAACTACTTCAACTACTACTACAGCTACTACAACAACAACATTTACTACTACTACAACAACTACTACTACTTCAACTACTACTACAGCTACTACAGCAACAACATTTACTACTACTACAACAGCTGCAACTACTTCAACTACTACTACTACTTCAACTACTACTACAACAGCTGCAACTACTTCAACTACTACTACTACTTCAACTACTACTACAACAGCTGCAACTACTTCAACTACTACTACTTCAACTACTACTACAGCTACTACAGCAACAACATTTACTACTACTACAACAGCTACTACTACTACAACTCCAACTACTACTACAACAATTATTACTACTACTACTACAACAGCTGCAACTACTTCCACTACTACTACTTAAACTACTCAAACAACCACTACAACTACTACAGAGAACACAGTACTTAATAAATGTAAAAAGCCTAGCAGCTCCCACAAAAGGAAATAAAAGGGACAGTGTAGATAAAAAGTGAAAAAGGTAGTCTACATGTTAAATAAAGAGGCAAGCACACGCTAATTAAATACATTATGTACAAAAGTAGGTCAAAGTAAAGATAAAATTAAAATAAAGTATTTTTAGAAACAGACGTTTGATACGAGGAGAACCATCTCGTTTTGAAGGGGTCATTGTGACGACCCCCTGTGTCCCTGTCCTGTGTATGTCCCTTTAATG